GTTTTTAAAAACTGCTAGCATGCTAGTTTTTCTCGTGAACTGTAACCTCAATGCCACAATGATGTGTCATGCCAAATGCTAGTAATGGTGTTCTAAGTTGATCACAATCTGATGTGTAGTGGGCATGCTACCATGTTAGTTTAACATCTTGGTATACTAACTGGGGCTAAAGGGCAATTGAGTTATGGATATGTGATCCATGCATTTTTACTTTGGGCGGCACGGTGGTTAGCACTGTTGCCCACAGCAAAAAGGTCCTGAGTTCAATTGTGGTTAACTGGTAACTCTAAATTGCCCATAGTTGTGAATGCAGGTGCGAATGGTTGTCTGTGTCTATGTGTTAGCCCTGGCGACCTGTCCAGGGTGTTCAAAAATCGGTAATCCTTTCACAACTTTGGGGGCGTTTTTGTTCAGCTGACCCTTATAAAGGCCTTCTAATGATCAAGATGCTAACACAGTATAGCTTCATTTATTTAGAGACAGTATCTTGCTCAAGGACACTCCAGCAGAGCAGATGAGCGCTGACATGCACTATTGATCCAGTGTCCTCAGGTTGAAGAAAGGTCTTCCGACGCACTGCACAACATTGCTGCCCTTTTATTGATTTTATGTTTTTTAAGGCCAAGAAATCCTCCTGAACAAGTCTTGAGAAAAAAAAAAAAGATAGAAAAAAAACATGCACTGCAGTTTAAGAGCAGGAAGTTGAAAGCAGAATCTCACATAAAAAAGCAATTTCTGTCATGCAGATAGAAACTTCAAGAAAAGCTTTCTTTCCTACTTCAGTTTATTACCATATCCTTCCTGCGGCATACTCTTGTCACTATGTCAAAGTTTATTATAGATATTATTTCCATCTAAGGACCAGAAATATCCAGTCCTGATGGAAATATGATATCACGATTAAATTTGGCCAAATAGCCTTGATGGAAGTGAGATGAGAAGGCTGCATGAAGCGTGTGCATTAAAGCAGAATATTTATGACAATAATATCCGCATCTGTGTGTCGGGTGTGCATATCTGTTTAGAGTGTGTGCATCTGCGTGACTGTTTGAGTGTGTGTAACTGCATCACGCTGTACAGGCTTCATTTGCACCAAGGAGTACACTGCTCTGACTAGTATCCGAGTTCCTGTGTATAATTACTGATACCGGAGTCACAATGAATAAAACATGCACTATACACAAAGTAATACCTGAGCACTGGTTCAAACTATCACTCCCTACATGGCCCATGATGGATGAACCAGGCAGAGAAGGAAGTACATGAAGCAGTTTCGTATCAGTGAAAAATGTTAATTTTCAGAAATGTATGATTTTAACTTTTGAAATATTCATTAAAAAAAAGACCTGTTTTCATAGCACATAACATTTTGCAGTGACTCCACATTCAGACTCATTTTTTTCCCTTTTTCTACTCAGCACTAATCCACAATCAATGGTTTGAAGAGAAGATAACCTTAGATAAATGCAGAGAAATTTTCTTTACCTTAAACTCATTCTCCTTGTCTTTGGTGCCCTTGTGAAAGGGCCGGTCATATCTGAACCTCCAGATGTGATTAAACTTGTAGAAGCTTTTGATGTTGTCAGGCACTCCATCTCTCTGTAGCACATCCTGACTGTCGGGGATGGGGGTTACAGCATAGATCTGTAGGTCTGAAAGCCCCTGAAGTTAAGGAAAGTGCAAGAGAGAGTGACAAGGGAAAGCACTGCAGACTTAAATGGAAAGAAATCTTCAATGACCCGAATGCATATCGGAACTTCAAACAGGACAAAGACCTACATAGGCAAGAGCTTATGTGCATATCGTTAATCAAGATATTGGCCACACATTTTCTTGCATAGACTAATGCAGAGGTAGGGAACGTTAGTCCTAGAGAGCCGGTGTCCTGCAGGTTTTAGATCTCACCCTGGGACACCACATCTGACTCAAATGATTAGGTCATTATCAGGCCTCTGGAGAACTTCAAGAAATGTTGAGGAGGTAATTTAGCCATTTAAAGCAGCTGCGTTGGATCAAGAACACATCTAAAACCTGCAGGACACCGGCTCTCGAGGCCTGGAGTTCGCTACCCCTGGACTAATGCATAGTCAAGCCGGACCAACGTATCAGCTAGTTATTATCATCGGACATCAAATATGTCAGCGATTTACTGATATGTGTATCAGCATTTGTAACTGCTGATAAAGGAAATTTTTAAAAGATGAGACAGAAGAAACACCTTTCGACCATGTTGTAAGTGATGATGTTGCGTAGTTTGTCCACCAGAGGGCACTATGCAACTTCCATGTTGACAACACGTTTTTGAAACCATAAAGTTTAGTTTTAAACCTCTCGGGCTCAAATTAAACTTTTTGTTGCTAATGCACAACCAAGTCCTGCAGTGGTACTTCTGAGTAAAAAAAAACCTCATAAAATATGTATGTGGGGTGATCAGGATGTTAGTTTTTAACTGTTGGAAATCGGCAACGCCTGCCTCGAGAGGGTTGAGCTGCATTGTCAAATTATTTCTAGAACAGACTCACTAATATCTTCACAAAATAACTGTGAGGAAAATCTTTTTACGTTTCAAAATCTGATATATCGGTCTATATATGAGTATGAGAAATTACAAATGTCGGTACGGCCTTAAAAATCCTATGTTAGTCAGGTTCTAATGCACAGTACATATCAAATTTTGTTCAAATTGTGTGTAATGTGTGTAATATATGTGTAAAACATGGTGAAGGTTCTGTCATTGTTTGGGAAACGCTTCAAAATTGATGCAATAAATGCAGAAAAGTACTGTGAGATTTTAAATCATCAATAACAAAACAACACCTGCTTGGCAACAATGTTTCAGCATGACAATGATCCCAAATACCCTGCAAATGCATTAAATTCATATCTGGATGGAGAAGTGCACAGTGGAGCACTATTAGTCATGGACTGGCCTCCCCAGATCAACATTATTAAAGCAGTGTGGGATCATCCTGACAGAATATGCAACAAAAAGCATCAAACATCCAAAGAAGATCTTTATATGTCCTTCGAGAAGCCTGGTGAACTATTCCTGAAGACTACTTAAAGAAATGACAATAAAACGTGCCTAAGGGAGTTCAGGCTATGTTGAAGAATAAACGTGATCATAACGTGATCATACCACATATTGACTTCCAAGCTTGTTAGGATTATACAAGCTGGTTTTTTTGCTTAATATGTTGTATTGTCATGTATGTTTCCCCATGTTTCAATAAATCGCAGCACCTACTTCCCCTTTTCCTGGCAGAATTAAAGGAAATGATGGGTGACTCAAAACTTTTGCCCAACACTGTAAAGCAGGAGGGAAAAATAAGTTTTTCTTTTGACTAGTATGAGAAAACATACAGTGAGACTTGACAACTTGAGCAGTGTAAAAAGGCAAGGAGTGAAAAGTGAGTTAAGTGTCTTTCAAAAATGCCCAGCCTCTCCTTTATTATGAGAAACCCTGCACTGATGAACAACTATATCAGAGAGAGGGAGGAGAGCTGACGCACATGAATTCATATGCATGAGTGTTTGTATCAAGGATTTACAGATGGGTGAGCAATCAGAGAGACTATTGATTGGCCTAATGTGAGAACAACACAGCAGCTACTTCATTCAGACGTCACTTTGAGTGGAGCGTCTGCATAAAAGGTAGGCACATCGTACATAAACTATTCAAAAATGAAAAGTACATCTTAACTTGAGGCTATTTTCTAATCAGTGTACATTTTGATGTCACCCGCACACCTGGAATATTTCCTAACAGCAACTTTGAGGGCTGCAACACTACTGTGTTGACAAACTCTGCCAACCTCCAGACAGGAAGACATACAAACACCTGCCAAAATACTTTAAACCTTTTTGCGATTGTTCCTGCTACACTAAGACTGCAATTTGCCGCAGTGACAAAGACACATACACACACACAGAAAGACAGACACCAGCCTCACTTTCATAGCTGGTAAACATGTCTATCTTCAGTCTGTTCTCTCTTTTACTGTTGTTTCCTTCAGTCTTTGTGTCACTATGTCATCAAGTCTGCCTGTTTTCTTCCCTCTTCTATCTAGGCCAGGGGTGCCCAATCCCAGTCCTCGAGAGCTACCGTCCTGCAGCTTTTAGATGCATCCTTGTTCCCACACACCCGAATCAAATGAATGGCTTGTTATCAGGCCTTTGCCAAACACGATGGCATGCTGAAGAGGTAATCAAACCATTTGATTCAGCTGTGTTGGAGTAGGGATGCATCTAAAAGCTGCAGGATAGTAGCTCTCGAGGACTGGGATTGGGCAGCCCTGATCTAGGCCAACAGTTGTCCCTTACATTGGTGTGAATAATTAAAAAGTCCCACATACTATAGGAGTGAATCTGAACACTGCATGGAAATGAGAAAAATGAAGGGAGCTTGAGCTTAGGTTAGTTGATTTGTACCTGGTCCCTGGTAGGAACATGGCTTAGTTGTTGTGTTTAAGGAAATGCAACACCTTAGTGCAGGGGTCCCCAATCCCAGTCCACGAGGGCTGGTGTCCCTGCAGGTTTTAGATGTGTCCTTGATCCATCACAGCTGATTTAAATGGATAAATGACCTTCTCAACATGTCTTGAAGTTCTCCAGAGGCCTGGTAATGAACTAATCATGTGATTCAGGTGTGTTGACCCAGGGTGAGATCTAACACCTGCAGGGACACCGGCCCTTGTGGACTGGGATTGGGGACCTCTGCCTTAGTGTGTCTGATTGTGATTTGTATTAAATTTTGTATACTGCATGCAATTTGCAGCACTGTATTTTTGCGTGATAGCATGTGCCTCATGTCGCCTGCAGGGCAATTGTGTACATGTATACACGAGGCTAGCTGAGCCTCCCTGGCAGCACAGTACACATGCATATGCAGTCGGTTTAGTCCCCACGTCCAAGACTGTATCTGCTTAGTTGGGGTTTCATGTTTGACCACAACTTTATTTCATGCCTCCATGTACACTGAAGGATACACTGTGCGTCTGCCTGGTATATGGTCTGGTCGGGCTGGTTTACGTGCTGCATGGCGATGGCGTGGGGGAACTCGTTGAGCATCCGCTGCTGGAATGCCTCCAGCCTCTCGTAGTCATGGCCTCGGCACACAAACTCCTTATTCTGCAGCGGAGGGGGGTTAGGAAAGAAGCAGCGTGGGGTTAGCTTGACATCTAGTGGGCACAGACTGAAACTGCAGCACCATCTGCAAACTCCACCAAGGACAGGGCCTGTTACATCATTAAATGGCACTGAATAAGACTTGCTGAATGTCACCTTCCACTGGAAGAGTCTTATATAAGAAAAGTTCATTCTTTCAGAAGCGCCGTTTCTTTTTTGAAGAGGGTGAAAGTATTATTCCCTTCAACTAGCTGTTCAAGACAAAGAGGGAATATGGTGATTTACATACCCGTAAGAAGAAAGGAAACTTCTTCCCATAGAATCCGACTCTGAAGAATTCAGGTTCTAATCTTTGCTGATCCATGATCTTGTCATAGAGAGATGCTTCCATCATCTGACAATAAAAGACAAAACTGCTTATAAACCAACAGTGTCTAATCTGTTAGTTTTATTATGCATTTTTCTGACTAACCAGGGCATCATCAGGTTACAAAAAAACAAAGGACTCCTCAAGTAGCATCCCCACAGCTTCTGGAACAACTTACCCTCATTTTACTCAAGTTCCTGTAGTCGTAGTACGACTCGTACTGGTCAGCAAGCTCTCTGCAAAGGATGATGCCATTCTCCCAACACTGAGGACACAAAAACACACACTTATTCCCTGTCACCTTCATCGTGCCCAGTCTGACAGTTACAGACTGACCCGAAACCTACTTAACACTAAGACACTTGTTCTGCAGTGCTCACACAATCGGTCTCCACTGGATGGCACTGGCGAGTCAACAACGCCAGCAGACACAAACAACCTCTCGATGCAGATACGTGCAGCACCAACCATCTTACTAATTAAATGAAAAGCTTTCCTTTCCTGCTGCCTTCCACTCTGTGATCGGGAGCACTGGAAGATGGCATAATTCGTGAATGTAAAGGATATTTGCACTACGAGTAACGAGGGGTGGCATTTTTAACGATTCAAAGAGATTTCCCCCCAAACATCAGAGGTAATGATGCGTTATTTTGAGAGGGTGAGCGTAGTTTTGTTTTGCCATTTCCCCCCTTCCCCTGAGAGTACAGAGAAACAGCAAAGGTAGTTAGGATAACGAGATAAAACTGGAAAAGAGAAGTGAAGTTGGGATGATGAAAGAAAGCAACTCCTGAGAGACGAAAACAAAACTACAGCCTGGGAACCGTTTATCAAGTGAGAAACGCTGCGTCCTGAATTAGCTGAGCTCTGTTTGCGCTCACATTTCTCACTGATGAGATTATTTTAGCTAAATGCGGCACCATCAGAGCGAATCATGCTTTAACAGTCAGCGTGGCCATCATCGCCATCTGAGAGGAACAGTGTGGAATACTGTGGGACAATATGGATCCCGCTCTAATTACAGCTACCTGCAATTCCCTTGATTAAGTGGAAGAGGTGCTGCTACCGCTAGTCAACGTCACAGTTCATAACAGATAGAAATATCTCTGTACAAGGCTTTTGGCCTTCCTCTTCATTTTACGTGAATGATGTCATATCTACTAAACAAGCAGGAAAAGAAGTTCTCTCATCTTTCACCCCGATGCGTCTGAGCCCACTATTAATGTTTCATGAAACTGTTGATGCTTATTATTTTTGAAATATACGTATTAATGGCCAGCATATATTTACTCTAGGAGAGCCATCAATAATATGTCTGCGCCTCTATTTCGTTGCCAGGTATGAAATAGAAATGCATTTAAATTAGAAGGCTCTTGAATATGCATGAGAAGCTGACGTGCTGCTGGGTATTAGCTTGGCACAAACTCCTCTGAATAAAACTGAACATGCTGTTGCTTTACACTGGCACAGTACATTCACTGGCATTTAGCGGTGTTATAGGGAACCAGTTGTCCTGCTGGTGTTTGGGCTCAGCTTACTTCCTTCATTCTACCTTGCCAGTGTGCTAGAAACGTCACAGATTACATCACATGACAAATGTTCTGGTTTCTGCAAAGTCAAATGCAAATATATTGGACGGATGACTGTGGAGGAAAAACTGGCACTTTGCAGCTTACCTTCCCCCTGTCGAAGTTTTGGATGATAGTGAGATGCAAATATTCTTTCCTTTGCCACTCGCTCTGCATGGGGTAGTTGAGAAACTCTCTGAGCGGCCTGTCTGACCATTCCAATAACTCGTCATAGAGCAGCAGGGTGTAGGACGCCTCTGTGAGCATACACAGAGAAAAACAGCATATTAATTTACATTTACAAGTTCTTTAAACAAGTTTTTTTTTCTTTTTTAAAGAACTTGTGAAGGATTCAGTGTCTCAAATACTGATGAATACACTGAAGCAGAAGAACATGAACAGATGACAACATGAAAGCACATTTCAATAATCATCATACAGTATGTGTTCAGACCAGGGGTTAAAGTGGGACGGATCTATGTGGAACCGCAATCCCACACCTTTGATTAATGACCAATTAAATCTAATAGGCAGTGAGGTTGATTTTCATATGCTGCAGTCTGGCGGTGCTTCCAACTGATGCCACAAAAACCATTAAATCACCCCATGGTCACACCTGCATGCACCATTTTTTACCCTCCTTCTCTCCCCTGTTGCAACTGTGGTTAATGCTTACATGTCATATCCTGATTCACATGAGATTTACTTTTACATTTTTAATCCAAATGTGTGTAAAATCTATGGTCTTCATCAGTCTAAATAATGCATATTATGCATGGGTCTTTCTTATTTCAAACATCTGCGGATATTCTGGCCTATCTCATAAGAGAACACTTTTTTGTGTCTATCCCTTTCTTTATTGGGTGAGTCAAACCAGGAGAGCACACTGCTAAAAATGTAAAACATTAACGTGGCCTCCAACACATAACCCATTTCTTCTTTTTATACTTTTTAGCCAATGTCTTTTTATTGAGTTTTTCTTTCATACATATAAACAAAAAGAGAAGAAAAGGATTACAGATGATCTGTACATTTGGGGTAATTAGCCCGTTCGTTTAACGCTGTGAGAAAAGAAAAGAAAAGAAAAAAGGGAAATAAAGAAAAAAAGAGAAGTATAAACATATGTTTAATATTTCCCCAAATAACATAATCCCTGCAAAATAATTCATTCCCACCCAGGTCACTGCCCTAGTCCTGTACACTGTTTTTCCACACCTGACATAAGAGAGTTTGCTGAAAAATTGTTATAGATTTTGAAATGCATCAAGGAAAGGACCCTACATGCTTTGAAATTTCCCAGTAGAGTTCTGAGTGAATGTCTTATTTTCTCTTTTCTACACACAACATGAGGTCATATAACCACTGTTTGTGAGTGGGAGGGGCAGCGTTCCGCCACCTCAGTAGGATTGCCCTCCTAGCCAACAGGGAACAGAATGGAGAGGAGAGTTGGTAAGAGGGAGAGGAAGAAAAGGCTACTCTTCAGAATCAAGTGAGGAAGCTTTGCCCTGTGCATGTCTGCATTTCTCTGTTGCACTTTGTTGCACGTGCCTTCTAACTCCTTATTTCTCCTCTGCGTTTCCTGAAGCGTACACTGCAGGTCTTCATGTCTTTTCTCTTGTTCTTGATTTTGCACCTGCACTTCAGTATAAACTTCTCTGTATTTTTCTCAGCATTTCATTGAACCTACACTCCATCTTTGAACATCTTTTTTCATTCTAGTTCAATGGTTTTATCCTTCATTTTTTTAACATATACCTGCAGTTCTAGATTTCTCCACTCAAAGTTGTAGAGAGTAGAGAATCTGGAGAAATTCAGCTTCTTTCTGATTTTCTTGCACTTTCTCTTAAAGTATTTGTGTGTAGTGCTATTTGAAGCGACACTTGCAAGCCTTCATTGTATTTCTCGATGTTCTGTTCTGTTTAATCTAACTGTTAAAATTTTAATTGGTGCCCAAGGCGGGTAAATTGTGTCCAAAATGTTGCCACCAGATGGTGCATCTTTGTGGAGAAAAGCCATGAATCGGTTCATCTAAACCTGATCTATTTTTTAACATTATTGGAATGAGATCACGGATACAAGATTTGGGTAAGGTGTTCCGGTCTAGCATGTCCTAACATGTGTAGACCCCAGCATGTTGACAAGATTAGATCTATTGGCTGGCCTAGGAAAGACTCCCCGGGGAGGATAAGCTGGAGGAGGTGGCCAGAGGGAGGTCTGGGCTTCCCTGCTGGCCGAGTAAGAAATTAGTGATGGCTCATGTAATATCTTCTTATTAATCGTAGAATGTAGTGGCTAAATCCACAAAGTTTAGTAAACCTCAGAACCAGCATCAGGAAAAGCTGCACAAAGAAAAAAAATTAAAACCTACTGGACCTCACAATGGGAATTACGTAATGACTTATTTCTGTCCCCTTACAACAGACCTTATGATTCCCTGCCAAATCCCAACTTAAAGCCCTGGTTATGACAAACAGTAAAACCGCAATAATGCATCACCCACGCTCAGTCACACTGTACTACAAGGCAGTATATTCCTTTCAATGTACCTGTGTAGTTTTGTGCTTTCAGATGCAGATCATACAGTTTGTGAATGTAGCGGATGTACATCTCCTCTTTGTTCAACTCTGTTTTGTAGAAGTTCTGGCAGGAGCGGGAGATGATTCAATGAAAAAACATGAGAGAAAGACGGAAAACATTAGCAGAGAGACCATCATAACCATTAGAGAGGGAATTTAAACAAGTAATGAAGGCATTTAAAAGTGGTGCAACAATATAGTTCTGCTGCTGATTTGCAGGGGCCTTTTGATCCCTCTGCCTACACACTGAGGTCCTCTTGCACATAACTCCAGTTAAATTAAAAAAAAAACCCACAAGAATACTCAATTATAATCTATATATTACATATGTTTTACTTTTTTCATCATTTTGACATAAAAAGGTAATAACTTCAGAGTGGAATAGCAACAGAAGATAAACATTGACATATTTGCCTGATACAGTTAAAGCTACTCACCAGTAAACTGACAGTACATCCGATCTTTTTGCCATCCACTTCTCCCAACTTCATGCAATCCCTGCAATAGAAACATTGAGAATTTGACTAAAAAGACCAAGCACGTGTGTCTCTGGAAGTATTTTGTGAACGTGTGCGCGCGCCCACCTGTAGTCTAGCAGTCTTTCCATTAAACGAGTGACGGTAGCGATCAGAGAGATCCCGCTCTCCCTCCAGGTCTCTCTCTCGATCTTCTTCAGCAGGCTGAAGGACAAATGAAGAGAGACAGAACAAGACAAAGATGTAAAGACCAAAAGAGACGGGGAGGGCAAATGGGGGGGGCGATGGAAGAAACAACTAAGAAAGGAAAGGAGGCGAAGCAAAATTAATAGCAGTCATACCGGTGTCACCTATGCTTGTTGGCCTGCCTACAGGAGCTCAAGAAAGAAAAAACACAAAGGTGGCTAAAATTTTTTTTACAACACCTTATTTACTGTTATGCCACCAAAACAGGTTTTTATAGAATTAAGGGCAAACACACAACAGCCAAAATACTGAAGCTGTTTATCCTTCTTTTTTTTTGTAATTGCTCCACATTTCCCCTCACACAGACGACACTGAGAGAACAAAGAGGAGGGTGTCTTACCTAGGGTACGGACCAAACAGAGGAATTCTACTCCAGGCGGGAAGCATAGGCGGAATAAATTAATATTAATATTAGCACACACTCACACAGGTTAGTTTAGGGATTAGTGGAGTTAGTAGGAAAAAAAAAATTATGAACTTAAAGTAGGCTTAAATCAAGAAAAACAAAAGAAAATTGAAATTAAACATAAAAAAGTGTTAATAATAACTTATTATGCATGATTACAATATAGCGCACATTATAACTACTGAACTTTACAAAATATGAACCGCAGTGCCTCTGCATTTTATTAATGTTTCACGTGTACAAATGGTGGGAAAGAGAATGATCGACTATGGAAGACAAAGGGATATTAGAAGTGGATCCATACTCATAAAATAGATCACACTTTGATTTGTGGCTGGGCGGCAGCAGAAGAGTGAATCGGAAATACGACTTCATTTAATGCAACATGGTTTTCTTTTCCTTCTTCTTTTAAAGTTGAAATGCAAGATTTTTGCTTTGAAAGCTTCAAATACTAGCAGCCCAGAGAGAAGGGCGACATAAAAATATAAACAGAAAAGAAGCAGGGACCAACATACGCACACACTCAGGTGAACACACACACACACACACACATATATGAAAAGGTGTGCACAAACACTAAGCATGCAGGTGTACAAACCTGGAAACTCAAGGACAGACAAAAGGAGCTGACCAAAGAGGAGGTGTGAGTGAAGATGAAGGCGATTAAATGCTCATCACTTACCTCTCACTGCTTGAAAAATATGCTTTACATAAGCAATTTCAAATACAAAACTACCTATTGTATATTTGTATAATAATGACATGTTTGTTAGTTTGAAAGTAAGCCTGCAGCTTTCTGTGTTGCTTCCCTCATTAGCTACATGCTCTGAAAGCAACCTAACCCATTTAATGGCTTTCTTTATTGAAGTACAAGAGGCCTTTTCAGAGCTGTAATGCTGCTATCTGTGCTCTGGGTTTTCAGGGTTAAAGGCTAATTCTCAAAAGCAGAATACTTAGACACATCCACTTCCCGATAAAACGCCCATTTAGTGAGGCAAATGACCTGCAGATTGCAGCCCACGCAGATAATTTACCTGATGAAGCCTTGTGTGGGTTGCATCATTTAGGTAATTAGACCCCCATAAACAGCTATTTTCACTGGAAGTGCCCAGGTCTCCTAAACTAGCCTTCATGCACTTTCAAGTAGGTTTTTGCTGGGATTTTACTGTTTATTGTAAAAAATTAATTAATTAATTTTTAAAAATTGCTTTCGCAGCCAAATTATTTAACTAATTTTCAGAGACTTTTCCTTCAAAAGTCTTTCTGGAAAATTTCTACTTTATTAGATTTTGTAACATTTCTTGATTCTTTTACCAACTCACATGCTGTTGAAGAGCTCCCTGTATGTCTCATCGCCTTTGCCTTCAGACATCAGGCTGTCCAGCTTGTCAATCAACTTGGCCTCCACCTGTGAGGAAAAGCATTTAAAGCTCAGAGGCTCGCAGTCTGAACAACACTGACATAACAAAGAAGAACGCAGAGCTTGATCTTAAAGTGTGCAGCATCAAAAAAGTAGACTTAATTATCTGAATGAGAATGCATAATTCTCTTAAACTTGCAGTATTTGCAATGACCAGCAGAGGGTGACTTTGACTCTGACTGAGAAAAATCTGACTGCTTATTGATCACTTGTTTTATTACCTGAATAGACATTTTACTAATGATTTTTGAGTACTAGTTTATACAACGTGATACTTTTAGAGAATTGTTGATAATAAAGCAGGATATGCTTTAGGGAGTAAGTTTTGTGAGTGACAAGATCTCACCCATCTGTCAATTTCTTTACAGTTAAATTGTTAGAATTTACAGTTATGTGAAAAACTAAAGACATGCCATGACCAAGTAGCCTGTAGAACCACCTTTAGCAAAAAACATAAGTAGTCGTTTTCTGTAATGCTCTGTCTCTCACATTCACATGCTTCAGTTCATATATTATACTAATTATTGTGGTTTAGTTTAAGTTTCAGAAATGTAAATAATATTATTATTTAGCAATGAGAAACAAAACCAGCTATAAATGAATGTAAATGTTTTAGAAGAAAATTAAACATCACACACACTGCAATTATTACAAGTTATATTTCCAATTATCCAGTTATATAGATGTGGCTTATTTTTGATTATGACAAGGATGAATTTAGCTTTCATTAACCTTTGCAACTAACAGTTAAAGCCAAGATTAAATAGTTCTGAGTTGGTGAATTGATTTCAGTGAAACAGCAGCATGCAGTACCTGCTTAAAATTGCCACTGCGTCTTTGCTCCCAGTCCATCATGTCGTGGAAAATGGGGATCATGACATTTCTCAGATCAGGTTGAGGCACCAGCGTCACCTCCAGGAACGGCCCAATCATTGCTGGGATGAAGTTCAACTTATGTTCACCTGGAGGAAAGATACAGATCGGCACAGAGGTCAGGCTTTCACTTTATCCCTGCACACAGCATATTGTTTATGTCAGAGACAATTTACCCAACTCTGGAAAGGTGTCTTCCTTCAAAACCTTTGCAATAAATCCTGCTCTAGCAGTTCATGAAGTTCCCAAAAGCCCCAAAACTTTCTGTTTTGATTGTTTTCTGCTACTCCCCCATTCTAATCATTTAAACAAACATTACACCTTTAAAAAATAATGCCTCAGATGTTTTGTTTTCTTTGGCTAACACAGGTCTGAATTCAAAAGGTCAAGTGGATTTCTCTCCTCTGTCCTCCCTGTTAGACAGATTCTAATAAAGTGCACTTCACAAATTCCTTCCAATTTGGCTGAAGTGCTAAAACGAAACAACTTAGAGTGCACAGTTTATTCCATCATTTTCAGCAGAAAGATGTAACGTTATTATTACTATCAAATAAAAAAAGAAAGGGGGGGGGGTTTCCAAAGTGTACTTGAAAATGAGAAAAACCACACTTGAACAGTACGTTGGAAATTACCATAAAACAAAATTGCATCCATCCATCACAGAGTCAGAACAAAAGCATCCACATAAAGGAGACCAAGGCATCCAGTCGGTTGCCATGGTGACAAATGGTATAAAGAAGAAAAAAGGGTTTTTTGTTTTTTTTAGATCCCATCAGCTCAAGTACAGAGAGTTGTTTGCTTTGTTGCATCACACAGATTCCAAGAGCTCTACTTTTGCACCAGAGGAGCAATAAATATGAATAAATAAAAACAGGATTTAGATAGTTTCAATAGAACCACAGGACTTTAAGAGATCCAGCTATTGCTGAAATGGAAGACAAACACTAGCACTTATAAGTACCTGCAAATATGCCATGTACGTCATTAGGTTAAAATCCCTTCACAAATTTCTTTCCAAACATTTAGGTCCTGCATCAGCAAATCTTTTACTTTTTTTTTCTTTCTGCACACTCTCCAGCTTTTTTTGGGCCTCTTTTCCTTTATGAGCACTATGGAGGCTGTAGTGCCATTTATAAATGAGAATTTGGTCCGCATGATGGCCCACGTTGTTACACATCATGCAGATCCATCCATATAATGATCAAGCTGGAATCCAGCAACAGTGTGAATTGCAAAGCACAATGAGACGGATCCCGTGCATGGAAACATTGAGTAAGTACTCAGTAAGTATCTCTTGTGAATATGCCACATGAAGGACGATGAGCTTAACAACTTTCTCCGTCATGGGTGTAGCCCATGTTGAGGAATAAGATGTGCGCTATGATGGGCCTCTATCACCTTACCTAAATTCTGCCACATGCTGAAGATCTCACAGCCCATCATCACCCTCATATCTCCATATCTGCATGATAAAAAAAAACAACAACAACAAAATGCGGTTAAAAATGTGTGCACATACTGATGGAAGCTGTAGAACAGCATGTTAAGCAGTCATTAGAGTGAGTGTACACTGTGTGTGTCCAGCTGTGTTGAGGTTCTTGACAGACAGGAGGAGCAAGATAGAGCGGCTTGTTGAGTAGGCGTGTGGCTCATTACAGACTGCTCTAACGCATCCAGCAAAGAATACCAAGCATTTGCAAATAATCAGCACTTACTTTTCCAGTATTTTCTTTCTCTTGGAGGGAGAGAAGGATTCAAGTTGAAGACAGGGCTGGTTGATAAATATTACAGACAGGTAGAAATACGAATCCCACACCTGCAATAAAAAAAACATCACTTTGTTAACGTGCACAACCTCCTGACTTTAACCTACAAAAGTGTCTACCTGCATGTGGGTACACAGTAACTTACTATCAGACACAATACTGATAGGACAAACAGCCTCCCAGATCTTCAGATTACATCATTTTCATTAAGCCAATAGCAGCAGCAATCCTACAAAATTCCGCTATTAAAGGAATTCAAACTGAAAAAACAGACCATAGGATAAGCCTATACGCTGATGATGTGTTACTTTACCTTGAGAACTCACATACCTCTCTTCTGAAGATGATCACACTTATAGATCACTTGTCTATATTAGACTATTCCATCAACTAGAGTAAATCAACAGTTTCGCCTCTGAATTGAATCTTTAAGAACATCTCCACCACTGCGCTACAGTCAGGTAACATCAGATGTTTAGGTGTAAAAATTTTCAGACTGAATCACATTCCTCTACTAATGTAGAGGGGATTATATCACAGAGTGCAATACTTCACCTATATCACTCATGGGGAGAGTTGCAACAATTAAAATGATGGCCTAAAATCAGCCATCAGTCTATTGATTAGTTTAAGACACTAGACTCAAACATCTCAAAATGTTTATGAAAACAACAAACCATCACGAATCAGTTTAAAAACGCTACAAAAGCCAAAGTGCACTGGTGGTCTAGAATTACCTCTTTCTTTTCTATATGTTTCCAAATGGATCAAATCAAGCCTGTTAGATAGTCCATGACTGTACCTGGTCAAGCACCATATAGAAAAAATACTGAAACCAGATTAAGTATTTGATGTTGGTGTAAAGTATATTTATTGTTCTTTCTTCTGTTTTTTAGCTTTCAGCTCACTACTGCACAGTCTGCCTTAAGCATCTAAATAATAGTATTGGGTCGATTTTATATCCATGTCTCAGTTTTTGTGATGTGTGATGAACTTCCATATTATATATGTGTCTGCCTGTGTGTCAGTAGTAAAGTAATGCAGCAAAATCTTTGAAGCTATTTTGACATTCAGACTTCTGAAGCACTGCAGCACTGTTCAGACAACACACACACGCACACAAAGCCTGCCAACTTCCCATACCTTGTAGTCAAACTTGTCATTGAGGAAGTTTTTCCTCAGAGCGTCAGAAAGGTAGAGGACAGTTGTGATGATGACACTAAAAGAACAAAAAGCGACACAGAAAGCAAGAGGTGGAGAAGATTACTACTGTGTCACCTTGGAGGGGAATCTGTCATTTCCATTCTGCACTGCTAAAGGAAAATACGAGCAGAGAGGCAAAACAGTAAATAGCTAAGGCATAACATTTTTAAGTTACACTTTTCTGTCTGACAAAACTTTTTTATTATGAAACAACTGTTACTTGTTTTTCCTGTATGATATCATCTCTGTGTCATTTGATAGTGACCTCCAGACAATAATATGGATGGATAAGCACTGCATTTACTCTCATATTAAATGAGCACACTACATTCAAATCTCTCCATCTTCTGAAGCTTTTTGTGCGATCAAAAATTAACTGAGAGAACCAAGGTTGAATATTTTAGCAGATGAAAGCACACAAACAGAATAAACGACTAGTTGTGAGTGAGATGCATACTGCATATCTGCATGAGCCTCTGATTTCCTGTCTGTCCTCATTCGTGTCCTCTTCCTGCTTTCCTTGATATGTTTGCGTGTGTGTTCTTACTTGTTCGTGACCAGTCTCATGACAGTCCAGTCTTTAGGGAACATTTCTGGTCGGATTAGAATCCTGAAGACTGTAAAGATATGAAGGAGGAAATCCTGCAACACAAACACATGCAAAACAACACCAAGGCACATTAAGTTTGTTACTCAGTAAAGAGTTATTGCAGAAGAAAAATTCGGGATGGAGCTTATTTTTGACAACCATTTACTATCCTATTATATATTAGGTATTAGAGGTGGGAGTCACCATACATCCCACGATACGATATTATCACAATACTTAACGCACGATACGATATTATTGCGATTTTAAAAAAAATATTTTGCAATATTCAGATTCTGTACATAAAGTTAAACTTTATCAATATTCATTTTATCTAATATCAAAGTCTCGCACTCAGTCTTTCTCTCATTTCAGTCAGTTTTA